TTTATTGGTTTCCCTTTTCTTTGTTGAAGAGGGTCTGTGCAATCCTTCTGCCTAGTCCGCCATCTTGCCCCGCCTCCTTAAAGTAAAGCTTTTGAGACCGGAAACTCTTTTAAGAAACAGTCATTAATGAGTTGAATCATTTCGTATATTTTACTGAGCTATTAAATTATATCTTAGAAATCTTTCCCAGAATAACCATTTTTCAATAAAATTTTATGATTTGGGGAATCTGTAACTTTAATATTCTCAGGGCTGAGCTAGAAGATGAAATGTTTTATTTTCATTAGATACAGTTTTATTTTAAATTATGATTGTATGGTATGATTTCATAAAAAAAAAAAACTTAGTAGGCCATTTGTGGTGGTATTTACAGCCAAGTACATTATATAAAGAAAGCTTCATACTCTGCAAAGTCTTACTTTTCCTTTTTCACATCCTGTTCTTCTGCACGTACCTATTTCTGTTTGTGTTAGTCATCCTCCCTAGGTAAATTGTCCATGAGACCAATGATTCCGTCAGCAAATTATCCGGAAAATGCTGCCTTTGCACGTTGTGACAGATCTTGTCACTGGTGGATTTATAGCTACTCCAGTGGTCTAATTAACCTGGCAGTTGTCTCCTGTGTCCAACACCGTTGTCTCATTGCCTTGGCATCTTAGTTTTTATCTTCTTATTACCTTCTCTCTTAACTAAAGCTCAGATTTACAGTTGTTTTGTTGTTGTGTTTTTTTCTACCTACCCTTACTTAACTCTTCTTTACCTCTCCTCTTTTTTTTTTTTTTGATTGGCAGTATCATCCAGACAAACAAAGTACAGATGTACCAGCAGAAGTGGTGGAGGAATGCGTACAGAAGTTCATTGAAATTGATCAGGCGTGGAAGATTCTAGGGAATGAACAGACAAAAAAAGAGTATGACCTGCAGCGGTGTGGTAGGTCCTTGTGGTGAAGAGCCACAGCATATTGGCACCTCTTTGAAGCACAGTCTGAGCCATTGTTGGGGAACATTATACCAGGATTTTTAATTTTTTGCACCATTTATTATTGCTGCTTTTTTATTCCTCCCCTCCATCGTTGTTTTTAATTATGTCTTAGTAGTGATTATTGTATGTCCATTGAAAAGTTAATAAAATTATTATGTGGCTTCATGGGAAGCTGTGAAAGCTCTTTTTTAATAACTAAAGAAAAATATATATACATTCCTAATATGTTTTTTATATTTTAAAATTTTCTTTTTATTAAATTTAATTATGTACTGATTAAAATTTTGATTGTAGTAATTTTAAGGATGTTTATTGTGTAAATGACCATCCAAAGGAAGCTACCACAGAGGGATAACATCATAAACTGCTCTTTGCTGACTCTTAGATTATTTTAAGCTAGGTTTTATGATTATCTCCAGGAAAAACTATTCTATATGAGATTATTATAAATGCTAATTTAGGAATGCACATACTTAAGCAGTTTTAACAGTCATTTCTTCTGTGCATTTTAGAAAATAGCTTCTTTAAACAGTGACAAGCTGTTGTGAAAAAGAAAGCCAGAAATGTAGGTCAGGTTTGTCACACATGAACTGCAGTTATACAAAGTGATAGGCTGTCTTTCTGCACTGGCCTTGGGATAGGAGTCCTTCAGCCTTCTATTTGAACCATCAGTATGTACCCTACATGCTAATGGGGGGAGTCAGTAATCAGTTATAGCCCATGGAGAAAACACTCAATTGCACTCTCCCATAGTGCACCTGGCTCAACATTGACTCGTAGGTGTTGATAAAAGCTCGCTGTCTCTAGTTTGTTGTTGAATCCTCTTCCATGCCCAATGCTGACACAACATCTGACCTCACAAAATGACTTAAGATCTTTACTACTAAGGTTATAAATATTTGATTTGAGAAATAGGGCTTTATTTTTAAATAACTACATTATAGGATAAAGCCAAAGATGTAAGTGGAACATCCATTTCCTTTCGGAGGAAGTGCCAATAAAAAGGTGTATTTTTCGTATTGTACCAATAAAATAATGCATCTTTGATAAGCAGTGTGTGGTACCTTTATGCAAAAAGGCTTTATGAGCTATTTGTTTAGATACTAGAGTTTTTGTTTTTAATAGTGATTTACTCATTGAACTGATAAATATTTTTTTAAAGATTTATAAGATCATTTTTAAAAAAAAAATGTTAAAAACCTGACAGGTTTACCTTTGCAAAGAATTTGCATTAACTTTCGAATACGGCTTGACTATTGGGCTGTGCTTTTATTTGGCACATGTATGAGCACCTTTCTAATGTTACAATTCTTTTATAAATGTGTTTGTACTTCTGGAAAATGAAGTTACTCCATTTGAGCATATGCTCTATACATAGATACCTCTTTTTATCCTTGTTTCATACAATTTAATTGCTATGAAAGTATTGAAACTAACACACATGAATGAATGTGTAGTGTATGAAAAGTTATCTTGCATTCCTAAAGCCACCAAGCTCTACTGTTGTTGTTGTTGTTGTTTTGCCGTCGAGTTGGCCCCGACTCATAGCGACCCCTTCTTGGGTTTCCGAGGCAGTATCACTATGGAAGTAGGACTGCCCAACCTTCCTTCCGAGGAGTGGCTGGTGGGTTTGAACTGCCAGCCTTCTGGTGAGCAGTCAAGTGCCTTAGGCACTATGCTAAGAGAGCTCCTCTAAGCTCTACTAGAGATGATTATTTTCTCATGATGCTTTTGTATATCTTAAGCAGGCTTTACTATGTGGTGCCAGTTTGCTTAAGAAAAGAAAAAATAAAATATACCCTAAGGAGGAGGAGTGTAGGCTGTGTACTTGCACTGTCACTCTGCATTTTTGCCACTACACAGCCTGTGTACTTGTTAAGAACACATCAGTGGGATTGATTTGAAGCCTGCTATCCAAAGAGAAGGGGCAAGGGAGAAATCAGGAATTAAAAAATACTCCCTCATGCTCTACGGTGTAGGGTAGGGTAGACCAGGAAAGGAAAGGAATAGGAAACAAGGTTGAAAGTGACCAGTAGAATCACATAAAGGAAGGTTTAAGAAGTTTTAGAAGAACAAAGAATCAACATCTTCCAGCCTTTCTCATTGCCTTTGGGAAGTTGTTGGAACTGTGGGTTTATTTGAACTCTGAGTCCTTGGTTTTGAGGTTTTAATGGAAGCAGTTACTACCTACTTTATCTCAGTAGACTCTTAGAGGTCACAAAGAAATTTAGACAGACTAAGTACAGTGAGATGCCTGATTGATGATTCAGTTAAATAAGGAAATCTTCTGCTTGAATTTATATATCAGTTTGCTTTGCATATTTTTCAAAAGGCTGATTATTGAATTGGGCTATTCTAGGACAGTATTTTTTTTTTTTTTTTTTAATGGCACTTTAGTACCTCGGATCTTCTTGTTGTGTTGTTGTTGTTGTTATGTGCCTTCGAATCAGACCCGACTCATAGCGACCCCTCCTTGGGTTGCTGAGGCAGCATTACTATGGAAGTAGATTGCCCAACCTTTCTTCCGAGGAGTGGCTGGTGGGTTTGAACCACCAGCCTTCTGGTTAGCAGTCAAGTGCCTCAGGCACTGTGCTACCAGAGCTCCCACCTCGGATCTTAGTAGTAAATATTTCCTTTAGCAGATGCTGTAAGTAGTGAGAATGCGTTGATTCAGTTTTAAATGGAGGTCAGTCTGCTATTCATACAGGAAACAGAAGTGTGTCTTACTCAAATATAACTTGGTGTTTGGCTTTCATACCAGAGCAGTTTGTCAAAAATCTCATAATAAATCTGATTTTATATTGTCTTTTCTTTTGAATACCAATATTAATTTTTCCTGCTTCCATCTTCCATAAATGGCTTCTTAAAAAAGAGGAAATGAACTTGAACTTCTAACAGTGAGGATTTAGATTTGATAGAAGGAAAACCTTTGAGAGTGATAATTTGTTAAAGATCAGGATAGGTTACCAAGAGAGAGGGTATTTGTTATAACCAGGTCAAAGCACTCTTTTTTCTGGGTCACCCCCTGGGGACATGGAAATAGCTTTGTTACACAGAATTCCTTTTGGATGTGATAGATCATTGTAAAACTTTATTTTTCAGATGATGTGCTTTAAATATGTTTATTTCCCACTCTCCATTAATTTGTTGTATAAAATAAGTTTGAGGTCTATAATACTTGAATAGGAGGTAGGAGATATTTTATTGACTGATGCTGAATGCTTTCCTGTATTTCACAGCTCAGAAATGACGCTTTCTTGTGAGGAAAGCTCCATCAATATTGACCACAACCATATATTTTTAAAAAGATCATTTAAAGGAGCCCTTGATATCCATATTTCTTTGTTTCAAAGAAGAAATTATCAAATGAGCTTTTTCTAATAAAATAAAAAGAAAAAATGTAACAATCTAGGAAGGATAACCTAAAATAAAGTACACATATTTTTTTCCCTCATTTCTACTTCTACCTTCTTAGCTGATATTTTGCATCCATGTTGCTCTAACTGAGCAAAAGCAAAATCTAAAAAAGGATGAGTTATACTCAGTTCCCAGAGATTATACATTTTGAAAACAGTGCTAACTAGTGAGTTGAATCAATTATTTCCAGTTAGCATATTTATTGTTTCTAAGGCTGCTTCAAGTGTTCCTTTGAAAGGCATGTAGTTATCAAGACTATGCTTTCCATTTCTGATAACCAATTGAGCAGTTTGGAAAATCTTTTTAGGATTTCTAAAACGTCCATACTAAGAATATGTTAGATAAATTTTGATGCCTTCATAAATCTCATGGAGAGTGTTCTTGTATATTAAGCACATTGAAAAGAACATCAGAAGTATATGCCATGGCAAAATAAGAAGATCACGATTCAACAACTTTGTAATATTATGATCACACAGATCTCTGATGATCCAGTGACCCTATAGAATGCTACAGCTTATGAGTGGTTACTTCTGTGTCACTTGAGGAAGAACAAACCTTCCAGTGGGACCAGTCAAATAACATATTTTAAAAAATAAGGATTATGCTTGGAATCTTTGTTGGTAGATTATTTTATACAGGCAGTCCCAGAGTTATAAATGAGATCTGTTCCTAAGTGTGTCTTTAAGTTGGATTTATAGGTAAATTGGAGCAGGTGCATATGGTTCTTACTTGGCCTCAGTCAGTTACTTGTCTTAATACGTAATTTATTTTCCATGCATACAAAATACTTCCAAATATACTTAAACGTAATATGGTACATAAGGATAACAAAAGTAACTACATATAATACTGTAGTGAAGAGAGAATCTGTATGTATAGGTGTACCATACTGTAAAAAAAAAAAAAACATAGAAACAGTTCTTAAAACAGTTATAGGAAAAAAGAAAAGAGATAATGATTAAAGGTTAACACTTCTACTTTTGTTGCATTGATGTCTTGCATACCAGGAGGGCATTTGTGAGCTAACGTTATGATAACTTTAATAATTGGATGATGCAGGAGAAGATGATGAAGAGATGGTTATTGTTGACAGTGATGAGACTGGTGTTGGAGGGGATGGTGCTGATGCTGGTCAGGGTTTGATTTTGCTGCTTGAGAGAGGGGGGTTTACTACCGGAGTCAGTTTTTGGAAGTAGGCATCAAGGGCAGTTGGTACAGAACATTTCTTTTTCTTGTTATGAATGGCCTTGTAACAGCTTGGTAACTGTATGATGAACTTTGGTGAACCTTTCTATGTTAGGATCTTGCTTCTACTTTGCCATCCCTGCTTCAGTGCCATGAAAGGCTTCAGTTAACTCCTTCATCAAAAACTTTGTCGGTTCTGGAGTTTTTAGGTTGTAGTCTTCTTCCTCAAATGCGATCATCTACTGCTCTAGTTCCATTTGCTCTTCATTGGTTAATTCTTTGGCATGGAAGTCGAGTAACTAATGATGTCTGATGGAGTTCATTAGCAAAAACAACCATAGCTT